AGCTCATTTTGCAGTCAAACCAAAAGAATATTTCTTAAATGGATTGAGTTGTTAATAAAGAGATGTAATAAGTGTATTGAAGTTAAGAAGGATTATATTGAAAAATAATAAAAAATTGTTACTCTACTTTGTTTCTTTCATATTCACTCACGGAAACTTTGGCGCTGCCCTCGTACATACAGCCGCAAAAAGTGGAAAATTAAATTTATTGAAAGCCATGGAGATTAACAAAATGAGACATTCAAATTTATTGCTTAACGATCAATTAGATTTAAATACCTTAAATTAAGGTTTTATCGTCATTTTTCGGTATATATATAGTAGCAGGTAGTTTGTAAATATTACATTCTATAAAAACACGGTGTTGTCGAAACAATTGTCATTTCAAAATATATATTTTGAAATATATAGATATATTTTGCGCAAAAAAAATGGTAGCTTTTTCGGTCCCAGTCCGGAAAGAATAAAAGTGCATAAACCTTTTATAAATGGTTTATGAGTGGCGGGACGTGCCCCAATTCCGGGCCAATTAATTGCCGAAAGTTCCAGGAAGTTGTGTTCCGCGGATTAAATAAATTTCAGTCAGCGGCGCCCCACCCCCTTCACCTCGCGCCCCCGCCACCTCGAATCAGAAATAATTCCGTCGAACTTTCGCGACGAATTTGCATGTTGATGGTTTGAGGGGGGCGGCGACGGTGGGGAGGGGGGGGGGGGGGGCGTGAAAAAATAAAACGAATTAAAAAAAAATATCGCGTTTCATGGTTTTCTTCGTGGGGTGGGCTTTATGGCTTTTTAAAAATTTACGGCGCCGCCGAAACGGGTTACGTTACCGTCCCCCCACCCCCTTAAACCCCTCGCGCGATCGATGAAATGTTTTTTTTTTCATCTAACGCCGAATACGTGCAACGGTTATATAAGACAGTTTTTAAATATCCTTGTGTTGTAAATTGTAAAAAATTGTAAATCTACTAGTCCGGGAGCCCTTTTTTCAAAATGATAAGGAACAAGCTAATACTTTGGAAATCGTTTCATTTCATCAAAACGCCCGACCTTTTCCTCTACGAAAATTGTTGTACACGCAGGTATAAAATCACGTCAATTTAGTTACCATACCAAAATGTTCAGCAACAGCTTAGTTTTTAGCTAAATCTATCTGGCCACCCCCTCACAGATGTATCTATTATTTATTTATAAAAAGTGATGAGCAACATGTTAAATTTTTTACTCTAGCATGCTAATTACTTTTTATAAACAAATGATCGCATTGTCCTACAAAAAAAACCGGTAGGATTTTTCAGTCCTACACCTTGAAGTTGTTGTACAAAACTATTTTTAAAAACCATCCGCAAGATTTTTGTGGATTCGATTTAGTAAGACGCCCTGCTATTATTTTCCGAAAAGTTGCAAAACAGGTGGCTGAAAGAATGAACAGGTATCAAATTATGTCAAATTGATTATTATGTAAAAGTGTGTATTTATCTAAGTTTTGACATTATCAGATCAATAATTTAAAACAACATTTGTCCTACAAATAAAATGGCAGTTTTTTTCAGTCCACTGAAAAATTTCTAAAATACTTATATCAAATCGGCGGTACGTATTCGCATCAACGCGCATGCGCGTAACATAGCAACGCATACAATATACACTGTGCATTAAAAAATTTTGTTTACTTGGTTTGTCAACACGTGTTAATTAATTTTCTTTCGTAACATTTAATTGTGAAAGTGATCATGGAGCGTTTTCTTTATAATATACTCCGTGATAAACCTGATTTTCGCGAAAGAAGAGAAACGATAAAAATATGAAAAAAATAAATAAATGTTGATTTATTAAATTATAAATAATTGTGAAACAACTTAATTAAACTCATTTGTATAAAACATAGATAATGGCTGTAAGAATATTTTAAGAACAAAAAAAAGTTAAATTTAAAGGTTAGACCGTAATTGAGAGGTTTGTTTTTATGTAGGGCATTTAGATAGAAAATGTCATGAAGTTTCATTTAATTTTGGTGTTCTACAGTTGCTGCTGTTATCGTTAAATTGTAGGGCTGAAAAATCCTACCAGTTTATTTGTAGGAAAATGTGATCATTTGTTTATAAAAAATAATTTGCAAGCTTGCAAGCAAAATTTAGCATGTCGCTCATCACTTTTTATAAATAAATAATAGATACAACTTTGAGGGGGTGGCCACCCTATACCAAACCTATTTGTTTGTAGGCCAAACTTAATTTCAGATTATATATTTCAATGTCTATAGATTTGAGAGACCGGGCCGCGGGGGGCTGGAGAGTTGCTCCGGGAATGATGGATGGGCCCGCCCTTCCTCGGACCAGGGAGCTGCTTAGACTGACCAGGAGGGAGTGTAGAGCACTAACAGGGGCCTACACAGGACATTGCAGGCTTAGGAGGCATCTCTGCTTGCTAGGCATTGGAGACGACCCGGAGTGTAGGTGGTGCATGGAAGGGGAGGAGACCCCGTATCATCTGCTCACCGAGTGCCCTGCCTTGACATGGGCAAGATTGGGAGTCTTCGGAACGGCCCTGATCGATCCGGACTCAGTGCACGGTATTGGGCTAAAGGAGTTGCTGACCTTCTACAGGAGGGGCGGCATTCTGGACGCCCTCTAGAGCGGCCTGGGGGCACAACGGGCCCATCTGGTGGCCTAAGTGTTTGGACGCCCGCGAGGGCGCCCCCCTTTAATACCAATACCAATAATCTATAGATTTAGCTAAAAATTAATCTGTTGCTGATCATTTTGGCATGATTTTATACCTGCCTGTATAGTTAGCTACCTGATACAGTTTCAAACAACCATTACGTTTAGAAGTGAGGAGTTGCAAGATTTCGTGGCGATACACCAGAATTCGCCTACAACAGCAGACTTGACAGAGGGAGCCATATTACAACAAGCAAGAAAGGGTGAGGAAGAGCACCAAGAAGAAGAAGATGAAGAAGTTGATTTGGAACCACCACCTACTATTCAACAAGCCGTATATTCAGTTAAGCTGCTAGAGAAATTTTTTATGTGTCATGGGGAAGAAATGGTGAAAATACAAGCCAAAGTACGAGATGCGTATGGACATATTAAAAAAATTTAAAAGAAAATGACCTATTATTTGAAACATTAAATGTAGTCCTTAAATATTTATATAAAATTTTCCTAAGTAGATGTTAAAATATACTTATAAAACAATTAAATATTATAATATACTCCTTATAGCGAAAAAAAGCAGTCCCTTCAATTTCGTCATATAGAATTTCGACTGTTAATGTTATTCAATTCTTTTTTGTTCGACGTACGTAAATCATCCGTGATACTAACATTAATAAAGTATTCGTATTCGTATTTTACCATTTTGTCATAACTTTTGGAATCAACGAGCCTGCGATTTTGCGTTTGTAGGTTAATTCGCACCGTCGAAAAACGCGGTCAAGTACCAAAGCGGGGCTAGTCTATATGCAGATTTTATTTTGCCTCGCGGGATCCTACATGTGCTCCCGTAAAAGTCAGGGTCTTCCCCCGTTACAACCCGTTATTACGTAACATTTTTTTTTCTCGTTGTTTTTGTATTTTTTGGTTAGTTGATTTGGATTTTTTTTATTTTTCAAATTTGTGCTAGGTTGGTTAATTCAAAGCCCCACAAGCTGACGGGAAATGCTTTCTAGATTCCCAAACGCACAATTTGATCTCGACATGGTATTTTGGTATTGGGTATTGGTTCCAGGGGCGTCCCAAAACATAATTTGATCTATGAAGAATCGTTTCATTTTCCTCCTATACCATCGTCCCATCAATAGAGTAAATTATCTTTCTTTTTGCTAAAAACCACAAAAATTATTTCTTTTTTTTTTTCAAATAATCCTGATTATTCATTATTTTTGTTATTTGTTACGACCATCGTTTAATAAACATGCATTACATTTTAATAAAATATTATCCAATCTGTTATATCCCAGAACAATATAAATTACCATTATTTCCTAAAAACCACAAAAAATATGTCATTTTTTTTTTTCAAATCATCCTGATTATTAATAATATTCATTATTTGTTACAACTGTCGTTCAATTCAACATTACATTCAATACAATACATTACGTTGTAATAAAATATGATCTAGTCTGTTTTATCTCAGAAAAATATAAATTACCTTTTTTAGCTAAAAACCACAACAATTATGTCAATCTTTTTTCAAATAATCCTACTGATTAATTATTTTTATTATTTGTTACTAAACAAAACTAACCAAAACTATCAAATTACCTTTTTTTGCGACAAAGCACAAAAATTATATCTTTTTTATTTTTAAATAATCCTGCTTACTAATTATTTTTATTACTTGCTACAACTATCATTCGATATAACATACATTACATTCTAATAAATAGTTCCAATCTGTGTTATCCCAGAATAATATAAATTACATTTTTTTGTGCTAGAAACCACAGAAATTGTTTCATTTGTTTTTTTTTTTTTCTAATAATTCTGCTTATTAATTATTTTCATTATTTGTTTTAATTAACTGTTTTAACTGTTAAATATCCCAGAACAACATAAATTACCTATTTTTGTGCTAGAAACTACAAAGGTTATTTCTTCTTTTTTTTTCTAATAATTCTGCTTATTAATTATTTTCATTATTTGTTTTAATTAACTGTTTTAACTGTTAAATATCCCAGAACAACATAAATTACCTATTTTTGTGCTAGAAACTACAAAGGTTATTTCTTCTTTTTTTTTCTAATAATTCTGCTTATTAATTATTTTCATTATTTGTTTTAATTAACTGTTTTAACTGTTAAATATCCCAGAACAACATAAATTACCTATTTTTGTGCTAGAAACTACAAAGGTTATTTCTTCTTTTTTTTTCTAATAATTCTGCTTATTAATTATTTGTTACAACGATCGTTCGATATAACATCTATTACATTTTAATAAAATATTATCCAATATGTTATATACCAGACGACGGTGAAAAAAAAAACTTACCGATAAAGGAGCGTCGAAACTTTTTCGCGAAACTTAATAGGCCGGGGGAGCGCGCGTCAGCCTCGTCCTCGGGATCGCGTCGAACTGGCGTCGCGACGCCGGACGACGCCGCTCCACGCGACCACTTTGACACCGATAACACGAGATTACGCTACTTGTTGCTACTTTTTCTTACTCCCTCACTCCCCCCCCCCAACCCGCGACCCGTTTGAATATAATATATTTAACTGATTAATTTATTTAATTAATTATATATTATTATTGTTTATTTATTTGAACGCATAAATAAATCCAACACTGCCAAAGCTGGAAGGATAAAATTGAACACATGAAGAATGCAAAAATGATGACAGCAGCGTTGTCAGATTTACCACTGTTAATAACGTCTCGGAATTTTGCGGGTTTTTGAATACGGGAGACTTTAATCGTCGCCATGTCTGGCAATTGATCGCAACAAAAATATGCAGGGCGTGCCATTTAAAATAACAAAATTATGACGTGTGACGCAAGAGTGGTAAACCTGACAACATTGCATTAGCATTTTTGAATTTTGTTCTACGGACTTTTAAAGCCACAGCACATTTACATTGACATTAATGATATGCCACTGATTTCTGTCAACTGTCATTATTTTTCTTAAGTAAATCAGTGGCGTGCCACTGGCTGCCTATGGACAAAATATCTAATTATCAACTAAGTCCTTTGGGAAAAAATTAGAAGACTGTTCTTATTTTATAAAAATTCTAGCTATTATTAATAATTATTAACAAAATTAACAGCTTTTTGAAAAAAAAAAAGTAGAACATAGCAACTACATAAGGTGTTGAAATTGTGGCCCCTCATACATGGAAGTATACCTCCTGTGTTTCTTATTAAATCGCAGGAAACTCTTGCGCGATCTTTCAGCTCTTTTGCAGTGTTAACTGTAACCATTGACACAAATTAACACTCAATGGAAAATCTCTAGTAAGTAACGCTCGGACTCGTTGAATATGATTACTGACATTCATTTTAGTATTTTAATATACGAGGGCAGCGCCAAAGTTTCCGGGCCTGAATATGAAAGAAACAAAGTAGAGTAACAATTTTTTATTATTTTTCAATATAATCCTTCTTAACTTCAATACACTTATTACATCTCTTTATTAACAACTCAATCCATTTAAAAAAATATTCTTTTGGTTTGTCTGCAAAATGAGCTAAAACAGCCACTTTTAACTCAACTTCGTCGTTAAACCGCCCTCCACGTAAATCCTTTTTCAATTATCCAAACAAATAAGAGTCGCTGGGGGCCATCTCTGGACTATAGGAAGGATGATCTATCTGTTGGAACCCACTCCCTAAAATGGCAGCTTGTGCAACACCAGCAGTATGGACAGGTGCATTATCGTGCAAAAGACGCACGCCTCTGGTCAGTTTTCGTCGACGTTCTACACGTATGCAGTCTCGCATTGGTATGAGTTTCTTTAAAATCTGTCAAAAGAATTCCTTCACAATCCCAAAAGATCGTGGCCATCACCTTCTTTGTTGACTGGCAGCTTTAGGAAAATCCCATACTTACCTTTTTTTTGGTTTACCAACTCCACAACATAAATTACGAATTTATATACTCAGTAGTCGGGTAAAAATTTGACAATGTCATTTTGCCATAGCCAACTAACGTTATACTAAATATAAGTTGCAAGTTCTTGTATGGTCTTTCGGACAAACTAATTTAAGGAAATTGCGATTATTCAATTTAAAATGATCAAAATCTATTCGTTTATTTTGAACATCCTGTAACGTCTAATTCAAATTCCGTTGTGTTTATCTGCGAATAACGCTAAGATCAAGAATGATCTGTGGAGGACTAGTATTTTTTTTAGAAAAATTAAAATATTGAAAAACTCTATTGGCGTATGTATTAATAAAAAAAAAGGAAGAATTTAAAAAGGAATTCAAAACGAAATTTAAAAATAACAATCTCAGTTAAAAGATGGAATCGGAATAAAAATTTCGTCAAAATTTAGTAGGCCCTGTTTCGATGCTCGACATTTTGTTTGATTTTCTGACATAAACGGTAGCTTGTTCTTACGCAATTTTTATATTTTTCGTTCTTATTGTATTGTTTTGGAATGTTGGCGTAACCAAAACCGATCTCGGCGTTCAAAAGCACCGATACATTCCTTCCTTACCGGTAGAGTGAAAAAAAAGGTTTTACATCGAGGCCATCCGTGAAAACGGTATCGTCTGCGTTTGTCGTGCCGGGCCTATCGCAATCAAAACTTTTAACTAGATGTATTCGCGCCGCCCGCGCGCGTGATTAAAAAAGTTCGCCTTTTTTTCAAACCTCCCCCACCCCCTTCCCCCAATCCTTCGAATATTAATAACGAAACAATGCGAATCGATAAACGGGAGCGGAATTGTTTCGCCGTCGCGTCGAGCGTTCCTGATATTCCCGTCGGTATGCCCGACATTCCGCATCGCATCGCTGTCGAAAAACGGAACCGATAGATTAGGCAGGTAAGATAAATACCAAACAGTCCAAACCCGCTCCATCTATCGGCCAAAGACCCATCCGTGACCATGGACCGCCAACGTTGTCTTCTTCTTTTTTACTTCTGTGGCCCAAACCCGATCTATTCGGAGCTGGCGTTGAAACTCGCGTACTGCGAATATCTTATTGCAACCCCTTAGAAAAGCCAAGGAAAAAAACTTTAGAGATTTCCGGCCCTCCTAAAGGCATTTGCTGAGAGTACTGATGTTTCGGGCAAGCAAAGGTAAAAAGCTTTCTAGGTTACCGTAAAGCGTCGCAAAAGACGGCAAAAGCATTGCTGGGATTTTAGGCTCGCGATCCGATTTCAAACTGATATGGAATCAAAATCTAAACCAACCATTATCCGTCCGGATTGGTGCATATTGAACTGCAGCAAGGCAATGCTGCAATGAACATTTTACCAGAAAACAAGCAAAAACGCACAAAGACTTAAAAGTTTTGTGTTCGTGCTGCTTATTAGCGGTGTTATTAGTTGGGAGGTAAGCTCAAAATATTATACATAATAATATAGGTAAATAGGATGATATCCGCAGAAAAAAAAAAGTATGGTAAAATTTTAAACTAGATTTAAGTATATTATGTAGTAATATGTATTTTTTATATTATGTGCAAACGAGGGTGCATATAAATACATATTATTATTTACCTACCACCTATAAATAGTTGTTATGTATGCTTAATAGATTTTTTGTATTTTAATATGTTCTTTAATATATCCAAAAATACGTTTCTAGTTTATAGGTGTTTGTTGATTTTTGTATATTTAAATTTGTAGAATGCCGAAAAACACAAAGTTTTAGAAGTACATCGTTTTGCTCGCTAGTTTTATGTATTTAATTAATATATGTATTTCATGATAATACATATAAGCGAAACTTGATTGCAAGAGACCCTACCCTACCCTACTTCCCAATAATTATTAAATAAGACAAGACAAAAAAAAACTCGCGTCTTCGCACAGTTAAACTTTATTAAGTAATAATATACAACGACGTTAGAAATTAAGTTAACTACACCGGCACGTTGAATCGTAATCATCTAATGTATCGTAATGTGACTAAACTTTAGAAAAATATCCGTTTCATTTAACCTCGCACTCGTAAACTACAATAAAAACTACGACTATAAACACATAATAATATAATCTGTAGACTAGCGCTCCCTTTTAAACGGTTTCTCCGACTTAAAAATCTACCCTATCTTAAGAGCACTTCTTAAGGACAGAATACGAATCGTAAATCGACAGGATGCGGTGCGTCAAGGTTACGTGACCAACCAATTTGGACGAATAATGGACGTTTTATTATTTTACCTCGATTTTCTGCACCAAATAATGGGTTCCAAAAGATGGACGTTCGTTAATGTTTTTACAAAAAGTTATGGACTACGTAGAGTGTAAAAAACCCTCTTGTGACTAATATATGTGAAGAATTCACAAAAATTATCGAAAGTGAAGTAGATCGAAGTGTTTTTTACTTTCACCGTGGAGCAATCAACTCTGTACCAACAAATAAGAGGAGTATTTAGGAAGTACTCTCTTGATTGCAGCAACCTTATATGTTTATTCTACGTCAACCTATGTATCACTTCGTAATGGTAAGTTTTCGCTCAAGATTGTAGCTTAGAACATGAGCTTCTAATCAATATACATCTGGATTAAATTTACATTGACTCAACAAGTAAGTTTCAGAAGCAAGTGAAGCCTATACTTTGAAAGTAGCAAAAACTGTTCAGGTTTTCATGACATCCGAGTATTTTATCATGTCGTAAGTTTACTTCCTGTAGATAATTGGACAAAAGTTGAAAAACCCGGCTTTTGAAGTGACGAGTTCGATGCCATAAACCGAAAAGCTTGTGCAACGTCTTCAGAAAACCATATTTTACAGTCTTGGTTCTCATCGATTGGATGCGTTGGATAAGTGAAGGGATTAAAATATCGATACATCGAAAATTATTTTTGAGGACATTTGAAATCGATATTCTGTCAATACCTCCAATAAGTTTTGTTCAACCACTGCGAAAGTGAAAGAAACGTTCGATTTAAAAGTATTATGTACCATAGACGATCTTCCGTTAAAAATTTCTTATGCTAAAATATGACGAAGAAGTTAAACATTCTTCGCGTCTTGTGTATGCCTTAAATTCCGAGTTTTCCTTGTATTGAATTTCAAATGACGAGAGGATGAAAGGAAAACCAATTTTGCCATCAGAAAATGCGGAATGCGACGCGATGATCTTGTGATATTCGGCAGCAGTTAAAATGACTTAAAACTTACCGAATTATTATTATTCGAGACAAGCGTGATTCAAATGTGAGATCGGCAACATTTTCTCAGAATTGGTATAAAACAGTATATAAAGGGTATACGTGGGGTGTTCAAAAAGTAAGGTGATCTTTGTAATGTTGGTACCCATGTCCCCAACACAGGTTCAGAGTCTCAGGCAGTTTACTTTTTTTTTGTGAGATGTGACATAACTGATGAAAGCGTTGAAGAAGTGATGCAAATTAGAGAAGTGGATAAAGACATCGGCATTTCTATTGGCTCGTGCGATGCAATTTTTTCCCAAATTTTGAAGAGCCAATGATGATCCCGATATGCTCAAAAATGTCATAACTGGTGACGAATCAGGGGTATATAGTTATGACATAGAAATCAAATCCCAGTTTTCCCAATGGGTGAACCCAGATTCGCTTACTGTTTTCTTTGATTATCGTTTCGTAGTACGTCAAGTCGCACAAAGTCATGCGGTCAATAAAGCGTCACTCATCGTTGCTTGTCTGACTTTTTGGACTTTCGGCCACTATATTCGCCGGATACGACCTCACGCGACTTTTTCCTATTCTCAAAACTCTGGAAACCCACGAAAGGAACGATTGAAGAGATAACGAAAAGATCGCTGGAAGAACTGAAGGTTATACCAGATGTGAAAAAAAAGGGGACCCCATTAATTTTGATGAATCAACAAGCATTTGTTGATAAAACGTAAAAGTAACCTTACATTTTGAATACAACACGTACGTGCTATGAGCTTATTCTAAGCGCATTACCTTTACCATTATAGTTGGGTCTCGGGTTGTCACGTGATCTCGCGCGATCAGAAGCTTTGAGTATTCGAGATGCCACCGCGATTGTATACAAACGGTGATTCGAGAGTTTTGATTTTTTTCTTATAAACAGTGCAGATCCACGCGATACACACGATAACCATTGAGAGAGAGGGGCGGAGCCCCGTGCAGCTGCCCCGCGTATCACAATACGAATGAATCGCAAACCTCCGGGTGACGAATCGTGATGCCCCTTTAAAGAGTATGGTAGTTCATTTCGGTCCGCGCCTTGTAGAACTTGAAGGCTACGAAGCCGATGGCGACCAAGCCCAGCGCGAGGATGATGCCCCCGACGAAGCTGGGGCCGTCGAATTTCCTCTGGTGCTGCGGCGCCTGCGTAGTGGTGGTGGCGGTGGCGGCAGTAGAAGATGACGAGCTCGTCGTGACAGAGGTGGGAGATTTCTTGGTGGTAGATGTGGGCGGGGAGGGAGTGGTGATGGTGGTAGACGGTGGGGTCGAGGATGTGAACGGGGTCGTCGTCGAATTGGGAGCCGGAGCTGTGGATCAAAAATACATGGTAGCATCGTTTCATCTCATCAAAAGATGACATAATTAAGAAAAAGCCAAGTTTCTTTCCCAATTTAAGCTGTAGATATAATAAAATTTGTTTTGGATCCTATATACGGTGAAAACTCCCTATAGCGAATCTCCGTATTACGAACAAAATTTGTTGTACTATTAGGTCTCCGTACAAAGCTATGTATTAATCCACTCTGTATAACGAATTTCTCAATCTCTATACCGAAAGGAAAAAGGGCACGTCAGGTAACAAAGTAAAGAACGTAGGCCGACTCGTAATTAATAGAGTCTCTTACCTTCTCAGAATTCCTTGCCAGGCTTCGAAAGGATGGTTGGGGAAACGCAAACAGAGACATGGTATAAATTATGAACAGATAAATGGCAAAGCCCGCGATGTCGACAGAAACGTCACTAACGATTGGCTCGAGAAGACGTGGCCAAAACTATCAGAAAAGTACCCTGCTGACGACATTTTTAATGCTGACGAAACTGGTATTTTATACAAAATGACGCCAGATAAAACTCTTAAATTTCGAAGCCAAAAGTGTGTGAGTGGAAAACTTACTAAAGAACATATAACAGTGTTGGTAGCTGCCCATATGGGTGGGAGAGAAAAAAGAAAGCTAGTCGTGATTGGAAAATCAATTAACCCACGATGTTTTAAGAACATCAAGCCTTTGCCGGTCACTTACAAGGCAAACAATTCTGCATGGATGACATCGCAAATTTTTGAAGAGGAGATATGGAAGAAGCTATATTACAACAAGCAAGAAAGGGTGAGGAAGAGCACCAAGAGGAAGAAGAAGATGAAGAAGTTGACCTGGGACCGTCACCAAAAATTCAACAAGTATATTCAGTTAAGCTGTTAGAGCAATTTTTTATGAATCATGGGGAAGATGCTCTTCTCGAAGAAATGGTGAAAATACAACCCAAAGTACGAGATGCGTATTGGCATACTAAAAAAATTCAAAAGAAAATGACCGATTATTTGAAACATTCTTAAATATTTACATAAAATCTTCCTACGTAGACACGTTTTTTATGTTTCAAGTGCCTATAAATCTTTATAACCAAAAAAAAGCAGTCCCTTCAATTTTGCTATATAGAGTTTCGACTGTATATATAGGGTGTTTCAAAATCGACTTAAATTAATAAATAATAATGTTCAGTTTTGAAATGGAACTTTTTTTTGCTACTTCCGGAAATATGCCGTAAAATATCTAAAACTTCAGGCTTTCGTTATTATTTTTTTATGTCTTTATTTTACAAATTGGCAAACATCTGCAAATACATTCTCATTGCCCCTTTTTAGCCTTCATCTTATGGCCATCATCAAAACATTTTAATTGGCTGTAACAAAAAAACAAAATGTGGGATTAGTAGCCAGTTTTTTTCCAAGCCACGTATAAAGCACTATCAATTTTCTGACATATTTTTTTTTTTAATTGAACACGCTGTATATTACATATGTGTTTAATAGAATATCTTATTCCGATTACATTACACACTTTATATTTTAGTCCAGTCGTTTGTGACAAATCGGCAAAAATAGGACATTTTTATGTAATTTCACAGACTGCCCTGATCGACAAATGAAAATATGTTTATGTTTGACATATTAGTAAAAACGTTGATGTTTGAGTTTTGTGGACTGAAGAAAATTCGTTCACTACAAGAAAGGGTTGTAATAGACAAAATATATAGACTTTAAGCAATCCTAGAAAAATACACGAAATAAGAACCCAGGAGAATGAATCAATTAATGTATGGTGTGGTGTCATAGATGGGTATATTTTGGGTCCGATATTTATAGGTCAAAAGTAAACTGGAAATAATTATTTGCAACTTTTAGAGCACCAAATAAAACAATATATGGCAGTAAGAACACTATCCAAAGATTGGATAGGGAACGGCGGAACAATGGATTGGCCGGCCAACAGCCCCGACTTAGCTTTAATGGATTTTTTTTGGGGACACAAAAAATCACATGCACAAAACTCTTTGTAACTACAATGGTGGGTAATTGCAGTCTTTAAATACTTTCAAGATAAGCAGCAGAACGGGAAGAGTTGCCAAAAGAAGAACAGAAAGTCCCGAATGGAGTTTCCCATCGGTCTTGGTCGAGATAGAAAAGGCACCGTTTCGACTTGAGGGATCTTTTTCTCAAACTGAGACGGGGCCGATCATTCAAGCACAATTTCGATACAAATAGATATAGGAAAATGCTATGCTGAACGGGAACTACTCTTTGATTCCATACTCTGCATGATTGGTGGCTCTGTCAGCATAAATAGTGGGAGAGGTTTTACCTGATTAGAAATTTTTTATTAAGCTTCCAGCTGTTTTCACTGATCCCACACTAGGAATCTAAAATAAATAAATAATCAACAATCGAAGAGGGAGAATTATGTATCGGCTAGGATATCCTGCTACGCAGTCGAAGGTCATTGCAGAAAAATACCCTCACGAGACTAGAGACAGCTTTAACTGTTGACTCGGTTTCTAGTGGCATTGTTTTCTATTTAAAACTGATAAGTGAATCGGCGCGTGACCTCCGCACTCTTAAATGGCCAATTGCGTTTTTACCGTAACGAAAACCGTAAACACTCACATATCTCGGTGACGTTCGGGACGTCGGTGGCCGTGTTGTTGTTGATTACGACCGGATCGACCGGCGAATCGCCTGAAAAAACAATTAAACGGGAGTGCCGAAACAATCCACCTACCCAGCAACAACGTACCTGCCACTATCCACGTCGCCGCAGCGATCGCCGCTAATGAAACGAATAGCAAACGTTGCACGTTTTGCGCCATGATCGAATTAAAGTCGGGCACGCACTACGACTAAAGACTCGAAACGGAAACGTTTGGCCTTTTCGATTTCGTCCCCGTTCGAAATGTCAACCATTGAAACGATCGTGGTCGTGCCGCTCGCAGGAGCGCGCGTTCGAAAAGAAGAAGGGAGTCTGTGGTCTTTGGCGGCCGCGTTGCGGTCGCTTCCGCGCTGACGTCACTCGGCAAACCCGGTGTCAAACAAATGATAATTCAGTGGTCCACCTGCGTATAGATTCTGTTGGATTTTATCGGAAATGGTCATTAGAACTTACGGATTCGGACACGGATGATCGTTGCCGTATAAAAAAATTAAATAGGTAAATCGAAAACCTTCGTTGTTAAATTTCTAGTTACAGCATTTTGCATAATATGCAACAAGTTCAAGAAAATAGTAAATGGTTTTCGAGAAAATACGTTTTTTCTCAAACCACGCAGTGCGCCGTAATAATCAATGACGTCATGTTGTCTTGACAGACCCCGAAATAGCGATTTCAATATGGATTTTTTCAAATATCCCGAGCAGCGTATGTAATAGACGAAAACCGCAAACACAAAAATTGTAGCTCTTGATGTGGCCTATGACACTGTTTGACCCAATTAGCCATATTTTTACGATTTTTAATTTGCGGCTAATAATTTACTCTATACAAAAACAATTTTCTAGGTCTTTTAGATATTTGCCCATAATTTGAAAACTCTGTATTTAATCGAAAAAATGTCTGAAATAAATATTGCACTGGATCTTCCCCGTCTGCCGGTTAAAGAATTTTGCCAATCGGATGAACGATTATGGAGGAAAACATATTTTTCTGGAAGCCAAAATTACCAAAAAAAAATTCAAAAATTATTTTTACTTCTCTGCTAAATTTGAAGTTGCAGCGCACTCTGTCTATTTTTTTTTTACGAGTTTGGACGAAATTACCTATAGTTCATGGTGTCAATTAAAAAAAAAAAAGGTAAAACGATAATCTATATTACTATGTGCAGAGATACACCGATCGCTAATCATTTAAAAATTTAAAATATATCTAATAGCGCGAATTATCCAGGTTACGCAGGAGGCCGTCTTCGAAAAGAAGAAGACTTTTTGTTCTGCGCTCGACGCGCTTTTTGGCCTGTAGGTTATTCGTACGGTTTTATCGCTATATATTGCAAAAAAAAATCATAAACTACTGCTTAATTCAAATTTTTTTTTTTTTATTACTTACGAGTTTGGACGAAATTACCTATAGGTGATAGTGGCAATTAAAAAAAAAAAAAAAAGGTAAAACGATAATCTTTATTACTATGTACAGCGAGACACCGACCGGTAAACATTTAAAAATAAAAATAAAACCCCCAGACCCCCGTTACGCCGTTTCACTCGAAGCATATCGGTACCGAATTGAAGGGCAACACGGGGTCGTTTTTCTCCTCGATGAGGGCGGTCGCCATGGCGCCGCTCGCCTTCTCGAACTCGCCCAGCGCCTCGAGCACCTTGCCCAAATTGTACCACGTGACCGGGTTCTTGGGTTCGATCTTGGCCGCCTCGCGGAGCGTCGTCTCCGCCAAACCCTGCAGCCCCAGGTAGTGGTAGACGAGGCCGAGCTGCTGCAACGACTTGACGTGGAGCGGATTGATGGCCACCGCGTTCTGGAAACACGTCTTGGCGTCGCTCCACTCCTCCTTGTGCACGTGGAGCAAGCCCTTCATGTGCATGATGTGGTGGCTCAGAGGGTAAATCTGAGTGGCCTCTTGCAGGCACTGCTGCACGTCCGTCGGTTGATCCAAGGCGAGATAAAGCTCGGCTAAGAGAAGCCACACCTCCACCTGGAGCATCCACGCCCTCCGGGGCCCCGGACGCGGACTGAAGCTGCTCAACGAGCTGGCAACCTCGCTCAGAGCTTGCTCCACCCTCGAAGCGACCGCGTGGTGCAGCTGCAACGAACCTACGAGACGTTTTGGAGGTTAGGGAAGGGGCGGCGCCAAGCGCGAGGACGGTTACTCGAGTCCTTGTCGGACATCTCGGACGTGTACAGCTGGAAGACCGAACGGGTGTCGCTTTTCCGGTCGCACTCGGGCACGTCCGACACCGTCTGACCTTCGTAAAGGTTTTTCCACAGCTCGAGCATCTGTTTGGCGGTGACCAAGGCCGCCTGCGACCCGTCGAAACGTTTACGTCACGCTATACGGGGTGTTGTCGCATTCGCGGCGCATATAGAGGGTGTCCAAAAAGTTATTTTCCGGTTTTGCGTCTCATAAATAAATCTTTTTTTTTTGGATTTTTTCTTTATTTTAAAGACCAATATGCTTAATAATGATAATCATAAAATTTTTGAAAAAAGATGGGTTAGCACCTAAAAGGTTAGTTTTGGTTAGTGCGATTGTGGAGGAATTCTTTTGATAGATTTTAAAGAAACTAATACCACTGTCAATGGTAAATATTACGCAACATTATTACATAAATTGCGAGACTGCACACGTGTAACAAGGTCGAGGAAAACTGACCAGAGGCGTGCGTCTTTTGCACGATAATGCACCTGATGTTGCACAAGCTGCCATTTTAGAGTGTGGGTTCCAACAGATAGATCATCTTCCCTATAGTCCAGATATGGCCAAATTAAAAAACTAAAAAAGAACTGGATTAAAAATGTATTTTTTTAAATGCAAATGGATGTTTTAAAACTTCTATTTTTTACATTATAATTAGGTACTGTTATTTAATTTGTTTTTTTTTACTTGCAGCTACAAGAGTCAATTTTTGGTGCCAACTTTTACTTTTGTTAATTAATTTTATGTAAAAATGTCGGTGAAATTTATAATAAATAAATAAATATTTGCCATTTTAATTGTATTTTATTTTATTCAAACCAGGCAGCATACGCTTAATCAACACAAAAAAATGCTAATATTTCGAAAACTATCGTTTATAATCGAAGGAAGCGTTGGATGTTATGAACAGCCTGAGATAAAAAAAACATCGCCTCAAAAAAAAAAAAAAACAGATACGTTTCGCTGGTCAATATTTGAGACATCCTGTATAGCGACGACTACCTGCATCAACTTAGTTTGCAAATATCAATTTTTCCAAATTACTATAGCGCGAAAAAACTGAACTTTACTTTCCAACCCATTAATTAGACATCCTGGATACACGTAAATAACTTCAGGTTTTGCGCGACTTCTTAATTCAACTTTTTTTCCATCCCAACTTTGCGCTCACCGATCTATCGGGACATCCTGTATATTTACCTCGCCCCCCTTCTCGTGAAGTTCCAAATGCGCCTTGACGTAGAGCAGGTTCAGGCAGTCGGGGTACTCCTCGAGAGCGTTCTCGGCCACGGTCAGCGCGAATTTGTGATGACGCTCCGCCGTCAGTATCAGGATGAGCAGGTGCAAGGTGCTCGAGTGCTCGGGCTGAAGCTCGAGCCCGATCCTGATCTGACGCTTCGCCTCAGCTATCTGGCCCCTGATGGCCAACTGGAGGCCGAGGTAGTACCGGCAAAGGTGATCGTTGGGCTCGAGCTCGGCCGCCCTACGTTTAACAACAACCTCGTTACTATATTTCTGAAACTCATTTCAGATACCACTGAAATTATCAGGAACGGCTATGGGTTCTCCATTTCCAAATATATTTCGAGAAGAAATTCCTTAGAAGCAAACATCACCATCCGTCTCAGAAGTCATCAGTCATCAACTCTCTTGTTCACAGCCCTTAACCCCAAGCATAAAAAAATACTTTTTTCAAATTATTTATTTTGTTGCACTTAAGAATACATTACATGTGTCAAAAAAAAAACAAAGAAAAACTCGAAACATACAAAAAAATACTGGTGCGTAAACGAACCACTAGGAAAAACATTAACCTTGATTATCATAACGCACTTAATTACGACAGGTGCAAGATTTCTTTGAGTAATCGTTTTATCAGTTTTTAAAAGTAGCAAAGCAATGTAAAATTTAAAATCTACAATGATTTACAATTTTCCATTGGACATTTATTTGTTCTGTTTTCTCGGACAGTACCGGTGGCAAAATAACCATCAGTATTTAAATGTACAAATAGTTTGAAGCAGGAAAAAAAAATGTCAAAAAAAATTTGGTAATTTACTGGCTTATCTACAACACCTACAACGTCATCGCCAAGACCAGGGTCAGAATGAAGTTTATTTTGAGCACCACCATATGGAAGTGAATAAAATTTGTACCCATCAGATGAACAAAGGCCCCAAAGCTGGAAGGCAAAACGAACTGGCGTAACATTTGGTCATCTATGGATAAGTTGAACGAAAATATGCCAAACTGAAAATTTACTTGAAAATGCGATACAAATTTATGTTTCCTTTTATGTCCTTTAGTAGTGATGTGCAAAAATATTTCCTGGATGTGACACAAAAAAAAAATAGAATAGGTAGTGCATTGACGCACCACTGGGACAAAATGGTTTAAACTCAACTCACTCGCCTTACCTCTGCTCTTCTCTCTAATAGTTTCCACATTATAGATATTAAGCCTTCCAAAATACACTTCACCACAGCCTCCCAAACGTCACACTTGCCACTGTGACCTTACATTCAAAACATGACACAGACCCATCGAAGCCCCGCCCAACTCGAACCGTATATAAGCACGCACAGATTGGAATGCATATCATTCATCATTCATATATATAGAACTTATGAATCGTATCGTTGGACCAAATGAACTGTCGAACTCTGCCTGAACTTCTTTTATAGTTGAGCTTAATTATCTGTCTGGTACGTACAGCTAAGCTACTATCTCAATCACCACAGGCGGCCAGAGAATATAACCCCGAGCAAATCTAATTTTAACTGGAAGACACTGATTCGGTAGAGAAACTAAGAGATCGCCTGCATAACGCTTAATTTCAAGTGAAAGATAAGCTTTACGTGCAGGATGACGGCCTACCAATGGGAACCGGGACCACTTTCTCAATCACCTCGACGACTCTCTACCGTTTCTAGACTCTTAATTCGTAGAAATAACTTACAGTACACTAGAGGAAAGTTACACACACTGTAGTTGATAATAAAGATAACTTAAGGCCGACTTTCCGCGTCAAAGAGGTCGGTACATTTGAGCTACTCCGTGTGCCTGACAAATATATCCTATTAAACTCCTCCTACACCTCCTCGTAACTCTTCTATACATCTATAATACCTTCTTATATGGAGTAGTTCAAATGTACCGACCTGTTTGGAACGAGTCGCTTACGTTTTGACGTTGTCGATCGCCTTGCACCTCAAGACCTCCTGCTCTTTCTTCAAGGGGCTGGCTTCGGCGAGCAGGTGATACCCGATGGCCGCGTACAAATGGCATCGACCTAAGAGGCCGGACCCGGTGCCGAGCTCCCTCTCGCGGGCTTCCAAACTGAAATCGACGCCCTCGCGGAAGAGGTCCAGGTGCTCGTAGCACAGCTTCGCCGCTAGGAGGCAGTTGCTCGCGTTGCGCGGCTCCAGCCGGATGACCTCTTTGAGGACGGCGAGCGCCTGCGGGTAGCTGCCGATCGAGAGGAGGGAGAGCGCGTGCTGCCGCCACAGGTGCGGCTCCTCGAACGAGAACTTCATCGACCGCTCCAGAGACTGAGATTTAGCTGGGTCAGTTTTTTCTTGTTACGTAAGATTCGATGTTCGAGGTTTGGGGTCACGAACCGAAGAGGGTTGTTTACAGCACTGTTACGTCATCACTAGTCAATAGTTAAACTTTACACTTTAAGGGACCCCGATGTGTGTCGAGCGAAATGAAAAATTTTGCATTGTTTTTTTGTTTCTCTTTTTGTTCTCTCGGCTGCACTAGACAAGTAAAGTCTGTTCATAGATATAAGAAACTGATACGAATTAAGGAAAGGCCCAGGTTCGTACTTTGATTACAATTTAATTATTTGGGGTTTTGTTAGGAAAGATACTAAACAATATTTATTTATGTATGTATTTATGTTTAAATCTAAAATAAAATTACAAATTATTTTTATTACCTACTTAAATTACTTAAAATTATTCACATAATATATCGGTATCACTATCGCTATCATCGCCTGTTCTATTTATTATTTGTTCTATATTATTTGCAATATGGATATACGATTGTTCTGCTAAATAAGCCTGTGTTTTCTACATTTGGGCGGGAGAATCCCCTGAGATTTTGCATAATTCGTACACGATTCAACACGCGCTGTATTACACACGAAATAAGAATGATCACTAATAAACTTAAACTAAGTAGTATATACCAAACCAAAGAATATTAAACACAGGTAGGTATAAAATTATTTTCTATTACGGAGCACAATTTTACCTGAATTTAAATTCCGAAACTTTAGGTAATAATCTTGTTGCATTATATGTTAATGACCACCCTTGGATAATCCCATTCAAAAGTAATTGGTCACTTTCTTATATCTATGAACAGACCATACCCAGGTTCATCATTTAGAAATGACCCGGTTCACTTTCTTTTACGCAATTTCTTCGAAAAATAATTATTTTATTAGAAACACGGCAGTCAGAGGGTAGTTTACTTTTTTAGGTTATTTCTTTTTGACAAATTTGTGTTTATTTTGTATCGAAAAATCTTTATTCTTAAAATTTTGAAAAATATGGTTAATTTTAGGGGTATTTTTATTTTTCTTCCGAAAATATATTGGCCTTTACCTGAAAGTTTCACGTTTTCACCTCAAAATGGCCTAGGGAATAGTTTCTGAATTTAATATGGTGTTTGCAAATTATTGCACGTTTTTTTCTTGAGAACATTTGAAAAACTATCGACTTCGAAGACAAAAATAAAATTGGAATTTAAAAATTAAGCTCAGAATCTTCTTTATAAGGATAAGGATAAAACTGCTTAAACCGGAAAACGATTTTTTCCTTGCAACCCGTAATATAAAATAATAAGTAATATAAGTGGTAATATTTAAACGAATATTTTTCACAGGAACGGAAAAAATATAAAATATATATAAAACAAATTAAGAGACGAAAATTTTTCTAAATGTCCAGAAACTACATACGCTGTTCGACAACGGATTCGACCATTTTTCAAGTTCCCAAAAGAGTAACGCGGAAACGTGCAAAAAATAACGCACACCCTGCACTATCGCGAACACATACTTAATATTACTATTATCGTATTTTTTCATTTGACTCGTAAATAATTCTTCCCTCCTCTTTAGCACGTTATCGATTGCAATTTTCAATACGAAATTAATATTTAAAACGGCCCTTCCCACTTCGTCGCCTCACCTCCTGCAGTAACGCGATCTGACCCCAGCGGACCGTCGCGACGGTCAGCAAATCGTACACCATTTTCGCGTCGTGGTAAGCGCCGAGACGGACGTCCCTGAACTCGGGCGACTGAGACAGCACCGCGTTCCTAACCGCCATGGATTCGGCTATCAGCAGCATCAGGATCACCTCCTCGCACTGGCTACGCGGTATAAACTGTCGAAAAATGCACACAATCTAAACTGACGACATATCTTATCTAAAATGACTATAAGAATGTCTTGCCTAATAATAATAATAATAGTAATAATAATAAACATATAAATATTTAGGGATAACTCAAAACCTACGAATTGACCAATCCCAATTGAAAAAAGTATTTACCGAAAAATACAAAAGCAGGATTACCAAAATATTAAACACCAAACTGTCAGCCAAGATTCAGATCGCAGCTATCAATTCCTGGGCTATTTATGTACTCACGTACACTTTTGAGATATTGAAATGGTCCGAATCGGTCCATAATGAGTTAGACAGACTAACCTGCCGTCTGATGACAAAATTCCGAAAATTGCACACAAATTCATTCGTAAAAAGGCTTTATTGTACTAGGATAGACCTATTACAACGGATAGAACAGTGGACTACAATAAACCCGATATCGTTCTTATAGACAAAGAAAAGAAAAATGCCCACATAATTGATATCGCTGTTCCACTATCCCTCAATATCAGTAAAACTGAAGCAGAAAAAATACAAAAATACGAAAATTTGGCGGTGGCAGCTCAATAAAGTGTTTATCTACCCATTTGTAATTTCGGCGGGGGGAATTGTCTCCAAAAACTTCTCCAACAATTTAAAAGACATCGGACTTCCACCGGACATCGTGGAGTACAGACATGCCACATTGTTCGTAAGTTTCTGAATTGAGTGGGAGGAATTGAACTGTTTTCTCGCCAGTTCGTATAATAATAATAATAATAATAATAATAGACTTTGGACTTAGTCTTTATTGGCCATTAAATACATTCCAAGAACAACAAATGGCAAGTCACATTTGTGAATGAAAATGAATTAACACAATACCAAACACATTCTAATAACATTCATAGAGAGCAAAATAATTATCATATAGACAAACACTAAACATTGAAACAAGAATTAGCTAAAAATAATAATAATAATAATAATAATAAATTCCCAGTTAGTATTATGGAGACACTCGTGACGCAACAAGGATCTACTCATCTGCAGTATAGAATGCGTTCTCCAATAAGAATTATTTTATTATTTTACAAAATTTAGTGAATAGCAGGTCTTGACAACGGTTGGTAGAACATTGTAGTAATTAATGTACCATTTATTTAACTAGGATGTACGCAGCCCACAATAGCGTACGCTAAGTGAGAATGGAACAATCCGAAATAAGCAAGTCTTGACATGATAGGAAAGAGTGGCTTCTTTAAGTATCTAATTAGAAACAATTCACTTGACAGTTTGTGGCAAAGGTGTTTAATGTGATCTTTCCAAGAAAGATAACGATCGATCCAGACTCCAAGTACCTTAACCCCGGAGCATTGTTTAAATTGTGCACCTTGCTACAAGAGAAAATATCTTCACTTTGCTATTTACTCACATCGCTTTGATCATCGACGTTTTGATTTTGAATAGATTTCTCTGACAGTAAATCGTTACATAACTGTAATAGTAAATTGAAATTGTTTTGACAAAAAAGTCGCTCATGCGTCAGAACACCCATAGCTTATCTACTTACGTCATTTCCCTTTTACTTTTTGAAACACCCCAAAGAACTCAGTTAGTGTCACTATTTTGATATTGTTGATTTTCCCGTGCACAAGAAACGCGGAAGTAATACGTCGAATATTTGAAATTTGTTTCAGAAGGGGCCAAAAAGTAAAGGGATTATGGCGTAAGTAGATAAGCTACGGTGGTTCGGCGGCAATTGCGGTCGTTTTGCCCAAATTTGTGTTTCATTATGATTTTTATTTTATTTTTATTTTTAAATGTTTCTTGCATTTAGGTGCCACTTATTGTGAGATACATGTGATGGCACGAGCGGAGCGAGTGTTTAATAAACGAGTGTCTTAAAAAGTTTACCGAACGTGTTGCATACTATACTTTTTCTACGACCGTTAGTTTTTGGGTACATTTTCGCAAAACAACACGAATGACCGTCAGCATTGACAAACATCACAATTCAAGGCGTGGCAAATAGCTCCCAAATCCGTGCGGTAAAATCCCGGAAATGTCCGAAGTGGCTCGGATTCGTGGGAAACGCTGGATCGGTGTGTAATTAGGTATTTTACAGACGGGAGAAGAAAAATAAATTTAAATTTAATAATGTAACTTTGTTTTCAATTGCTCAATAGATTTTTTTTTGCTCCGATCCCCGGAAACACTATACAAGCAGGTTCAGATTGATGAGTTTTCTATATTAGAGGTATTTATTTGATATTTTTGTAGGTCTGATGACGACGTTTTAGGTGAAACACGTCCCTCGCTATTTAAATTAAATAATTTCTTTTGACGGTATTTGAGAGAATCTTTTTTTTAACCTTACGACGATCTTATTTATTTCATTTTCAAACTACCATTTGCGATATTTCGAATCAATTTTTTATCAGCATACGGGGTATTTTGAACCTGGGAAGGACTTATAAGTATTAAAAAAATATTGAACGTTCAAAACATCAAAATTAGCGTACCCGGTACGATACGGCTGCGCATTATTACCTGGTTCAGCGAGGTGTAGTATTTGGGCTTCCAGCACGACACCTTGGGGGTGTAGTTCAGCGGCGGCTCGTACTTTTCGCCTACCAATCCCTGCAGCAGCAACTCGGCCGTCTGGCACATGAATTTCAGACGGAAACTCTGGCCGGCCTGCGATTCTACAGCGCATAAAGACGCGCGGTAACGTTCGAGCGCCTGCGCAGGCTTCGATTGGCGCAGTAGCACCACGGGGGCCGCGGTCAGGGCCTGTTCGAGGATGTCGCCGATCGATTTTTGGGGACCTGGCGGCTGCGGCGAGTGACTCCCTTCGAAACAAGCCCCAACAAATACATACAGATGCATAATTAAATATTATCTATATAAGAGGTTTTTTAAAAACGCGAGACTTATAAATCATCAGAACGACGATTGTCGATGGTCCCGAGAGTGGCAGGTGGACGGACAAGTCTTCTTCTTAACTCTTATGAGGTGCACAAGCACTGTGGTATTGTTACTTTCGAAAATCGATGTAATCGAATCAAGTATCTACGCTCGTAGAAAAATTTTATATGTCAGTAACCATAGGTCCAATGGGATCGCGGGTGGTACAGCGTCGAAAAAAAAAATTTTTTTTGTCTGTTTGTCCGTTCTCCGTTATCGTATTCTTTTTCCTGAATAACTTTCGAACCGGTGGAGCTACAAAAGTTAAATAAGCCCCCACGAGACACAAGAAATGGCCTCGATCCGACGCCGACGTCCATCTTTTTTTCGCGATTTCATATTTGACACATATACGCAGCTTCGCCCCGTGACGCAACCTATTGAAAATAGGGGGGCTGGGGGGTCGGGAAATATTAAAAAAAAAAAATTAAAAATCGCGTGTGCAAGGGTCTACAAAAAAGACCATTTTTCCAAAACAATTTACGAGACTAAAAAAAATCTTGAACCAGAAGACGCAGAAGATACGGTTCCGTAAACTTCTATTTATGACAATATTTCAAAAATATACAGGGTGCGCCGCAAATTGAAAAAAAACTGAAAAATGGGTCCCCCTATTATTGAAAGTTGTCACTTAATTTTACATTGCGATACAGCTAAAACTTTTGCATTTAAGGTTTTCACCTATTATACAGGGTGTTCCCGATATTGCGTGCTAAATAAGAAATGTGTTAAGTGTCCTAAATTCGCAGATATCAACTTCAAGTTTAGCAGAGAAGTAAAGGTTCGTGTCCACATTTAAACAGTAGCAATCAAATTTGGTCAAGCATTTTTTAAAAATTTTTGAAAAAACACTTTTATGGTAATTTTAGCTTTCAGAAAAATATGTTTTCGTCAGTAATGCAGCACACGCGGAAGATCCAGTGCAATAACATTTAGTTTGGGCTTTTTTTCGATTATATACAGGGTTTTCAAATTATGGGCAGAAATCTAAAAGACCTAGAAAATTGTTCTTTTACAGAATAACTTCGTACAAACAATAGCTAATCCGTTCAAACAGTGTCATAGGCTGCATCAAGAGCTACAATTTCTGTATTTGCGGTTTTCGTCTATCACGTACGCTGGATATTTAAAAAAAGATGACGCGATGACGTCATTGATTATTATGGCGCACTGCATGGTTTCAGAAAAAACTTAGTTTCTCGAAAACCATTTACTATTTTGGAAAAATTCTTGGACGAGGAAACGTGGAAGATCCAAGGCTATAACCTCCATTTGCGAAATATGTTCAGTTATGTACAGGGCGTGTCAATTATTTTACCATTTTTTTATTAATAACTATTATTTTATTAACGTCTTTATTCACCATAAATTACAAAGGAAAAAAAAGAAACAATGGAAAATGTAACAATTGCAATAAATGGGGAAAAGGTAAAGGTTCGCCCTAATAAACGTTTTTAAGCCTAACCTAACGAAACCAACGATAATTTATACTAGACCGTATCGTTAATCCTAAAGAAAAACAACGTTTTGATTTTTTTTTCTTCCTCAGAAAGTCTCGATGGACGAACATTTTTCCTCTTCAATAAAATTAAGAAAAAGGAAATATCTGGAGAAAATAACCGACAAGCATCATATAATAACCACCAACCAGCATAAGATACCTCGAAAGAAATAATTGTCAAAAAATAGTTATTTGTCGACTCGCCAGCAATAACAGCGAATGTCCTGACATAATCAAATGTGAACTTGAGCGAGCTATTCATCTAATGACAACAACAAGAGCTCGGGACCAGATAACACCTATCCAAAAGTTATGAATATATTTCGTGAAGGAAATTTATATGTTTCCAGTGCCACTATCCAATTACTAAGGAATTTTAACGGCAAGCCTGAAGTTTGGTAAACAGTATTACAGTGACCTGTCAGGTTTTTTTTTTAAGCACTGCCAACGTGATCTCCGACAGGAAAGAAAAAGAATAATCGCGCATTTTTTAACATTGGGGGTTTACCTGCGTTGCCGGCGCTTTGGGTGTTGAAATTCAGTTCCCGTTCCGATTTTTGCATGTAGAGGAGGGCTAGGTCCGACGCGAGGTCGAAACATCGGGCAAGCTCTTCCTCGCGTTCGGTGGTTTTAAATTTACTGGCGGCCGTCACGCCTTCCTTTTGCAGGCACAAGCCCTTGATAGCGTAAGATTCGGCGACTATTTTCAGGCTTCGCCTGCAACAACGTCATAGTTTTTACTTGTCTGAGGTATTTACGGCGTTGCCAGATCCACGATTGCGTGTTTGGATGGTTATGTTGGACGACGCAACTCAAAAAGAAGAAGAATTGACTGAACTGTCAAACTTATACTATCGTACTTCTGGTAATTGAAGCTAAAAGTGACCCCATCAGGTCAGAAAGGGGAAGTACAGGAAGAAAAGAAACTGTAATGAATGCCCGAATAATACACTCGTACCATTGGAACATCGCTCAAGAAAATTGGAAAAAGTAGCCACGTTTTCTTGGAAAAAAAATGACATCATTTCAATAAGAAGCAATTTCGCATGAGATTGTGAATTTAGTAAAGGATAGATAGATAGATAGAATCTTGGAACAGCTAATAACATGTCCTTCAAGTTGATTAGATTAGTTTTTGCTTGACATCCTTCTAATGGTTGTTAAAATGTAGCACTCGTCAATGTCTTGTAATGACAGTGACGCGGCGACAGATTCAACACTAATATGAGACCCAAAATTGATTCAAAACGAATAAAGACAGTGTTGTTGTAAAATGGAGGGAAAATGATATGGGAAGCTGATAACATGCTAGAAAACACTTTGGGATTCTTGAGTGACATTGTTTTTTTTAACTTTTTTATTTGACATTTTGGAAAAAAAGTTGAAATCACAGTTATAGGGTTTAATGTGCCAGTGACCCACAGGCATGGTTAATTTCATTTATATAGAAGTTGAAATATGGTTGTTAGCTTGCCGAATTGCTTTATATGTAGCGGCGGCCAAGTAGACCCTAATTGAAGATGAGGAACAAACAAAACAAGGGTTAAATAAGGTTTGGTTAGTTTATAAAAACAAAAAATGATTTTTTAAAGCCTCACGTAATTTTGCAAGAACCCAGCTAGTTAAGTCACTTTTTTTTAAACCATACTATTATTATTACTATCATAGATTTCGTTTTGTGAACAACTATCCTCGGTAACAATGCGATTACATTACTAAATTGAATGCACTTACAGCGGTAACTTTTTCTCGGATAAGTTCTGCAGATCGGCCATTTTAAAATTTTTGATGCTCTCCGAGTATTGGCCGCAGGCGTAGTGCAGTTTTCCTAAGAGCAAATGCGCGTCCATCGCGACCCCGGCCTTGATACCCGCTTCAGTGATAACCATGTTGAGAAAGCGTTTGGCTTCGATGAGACCGAGCTTCGCTCGGTGCACGTTTTGCTCTATCGGCGGCCATTCCTCCAGGAAATTCTCGAGTTTTCCCTCGCCGATCAAAAAATCCGAAAGGCAAACTGCAAAGTAACGACTTAACCGATTAGCGGAGCGAGTCTGTCGTCTCGCCTATTACTGAATTCGGGCGACTTTTCTCTCAGCTGTTCCGCCAATTCGATAGCTTTGATCCAGTTTCCTTCCTCGCGGTTCCTCTCTATGTCCACCTCGATTCGGGACGTGCCCGATTTCGCCCTGCCAGTCATCCTAATTAATCGTTTTCGTCGGTTGCTATTGTTTTCGAGGTTCGGGCTGTCAGTTTCGGCCGACGTTTGTAGGTTATGGTCGGATTCATCGTTGGTTCTTGTTAGCCTTGGCTCGCGTATCGTAAAGAGTTATTTTGAGGTTTTCAACTAAATATGGAGGTAATAATACACAAAATTTGAGGAAGATCAAGATTTAAATCACGTTTTCACTCAATGAGCCTGTAGCATTCTGTAACCAACACGATGACAGATCTTCAATAAGATGGGATGTAGCATTTTTACCGCAATATTTTCTTAAAATATACCAAGATCTGGGTAAACATTATGGGACATCAAGTAAGGCGAATGTAAAGGCATGCGTGGAATATCATTCATTGATTTCTTTACGAAGAAGATATCAATGCATCAGTTTTTACCATATTATGTAATGGCTTTCTACAGGAAACTAATGTGCTTGTTTAGTGGTGCACAACTGTTTAGCAATGGCTCAGCAAATGTTGGTTTTCGTTCCGTTTTTATGTGTCGGTTAGAGGCCAAAATAGAAACTTCCTCGATGGACGTTGATAATGGGCGAATGGCTATAGCAAACTCTGCCTATCTGTTTGTGGCAAGTAAAAAGAAGAATTTTCCACGGTTGACAATCAGGCAGAAGAAAAATTATGTTTTTTTGTCGTTGAACCCCTTCTATTGAGAGCCCAACGAAAAGAATGTGACGAATTAAATGAGAAAGGTTTTTATCGTGTTTATCGGTACTGGCTGGTTGAAAAACAATTTATTCTATTTGGCCGTTTGCGTTTTTACGTGTATAACAATTTACTTTGAGTCGTAACGGAGAAGAATGAAGTCATGAAAGTGACGTTATCCTAGGATTTTTATTTTATCAAGGTACAGCGTGTTTAAAAAAGATGCGGCGGAAATTTAATTTAATCTTAAAATTTCATTCCATTTTTGATAAACGTTTAGTTTACATTGAATAGAAGATAAGGTTTCGTGGATTTTGGATAAATAAAACGCAGGTCAATAGTAAATGTTTCGCTATAATATAGTAATCACCTCCATTTATATAATAAATCTACAAAACATGGAATATATATATACTCACAATATAAACTCTTGTACGTCCGTAAAAATCATTACCGATATAACAATTTTATTTGTCTAAGTACACACAAATATATATATATAAATAAGGTTTCGTACAAAAATAAAAACTGTTGCGGTCCGGCACGAGAAACGAACGGGACTCCCGTATTTGTGGGGAACCCCGGAAAGGAACAATAACGATTCGTTAATGGCGGACTAACGGAAAATACTGGGACCGTGCGGAATTGCCATTCGTTTACAACCAAGAAAAATATGGAATGTCGTCGTCGTAAATATACCGACCCCCCTTCCTCGCTACGTACGAACGAAAATGAGATTCTCTGGTCCGACCAAATTATTAACAGTGTTTTGGTGAGGCAGACACCGAATTCGTTTTTGATATATTTTTAAAATGCTGAAATACAGGCGTGTGTATCGCCAAAACCAATGTTTTCCGTCAAAAATAACAACCAATAGAAAACAGAACACCCTGTATATATGTTTTTCGGTTATCTTCATATCTGCCTGCGCGACGTTCCGAGTAAAATAAACGCTAGAGAGCTGCGTCTCGAAACATTTCGATTTTTTTTTTATTTCAACTCCCCCCTCCTATACACCTTTTTTTAAAAAAATTCGCTAATATTGACTACTTTTCATAACGTTTGGCTCTGTCTAATTAACCCACTATACCAACAATATCTCTATGTATATATATATATATTGCCCACGTATTTACAAAAGTGTTTTTTTCGCCCCCCTCCCCCCCCTATTTAGAATACTCCTTTATGCCCTCTCTCGCATAACCTAGAAATCCAGGTTGAATCCAGCGTCGCTGTCGAACGAGTTGAGCAGCTCCTGATCGGTGAGGGAGGCGGAGTCGCCCGGCCCCGGCAGGTTGTCGAGGAACTCGAAGCTGAAATCGGTCGCTTGCGCGTTGAAGGTGGCGAGCGAGTTGCCGCCCCCGCCCATCAGGCTCGCCGGCTGTTGCGGCTGCTGCGCCACCTGGTGGCCGCTTACCGATATCGACTGCGACTGGTGCATGTGGATACCAGACATGGACATCTGCGCACGCGCCAATTATTATTAGATTTCTTCCACGTTCGGAGTGAAATAAATGTGAAAAAGTGAAAATTTGTTGAAAAACTACTTTGAAAGTGTGTCCGATTATTTCCTATCTACCTATTCGCGCATTTTACCAATATTTTTTAATTTGATTATTATTAGCTCTCGTCCACATTCGAAGTGAAATAAAAGTGAAAAAGAGAAAATTTATTGAAAAAATTCTTTGAAAGATTGCCTATCTACCTTTTCACACATTTTACCAATTTTTTGATTTGAATTATTGGCACTGGATTTTTTTCGAGAATTTGTCCATATTCGGAGTGAAATAATGAAAGATTTTTGAAAAAATGCTTTTGAAAGTGCATGGTTATTCGCTATCTACCTTTTCTCACGTTTTTCCAACGTTTTATTTTATATTATAAGATTTCGTCCATATTAGCAGTGAAATAAAAGTGTAAAAGTGAAAATTTATTGAAAAAATGGTTTGACAGTGTCGGTTATTCACCTTTTCCCGCATTTTAACGATTTTTTTATTTGAATCGTTGGTGCTGGATTTTTTTTTTCGAGAATTCGTCGGAATAAAAGTGAAATAGCGAACCATTTTTGAAAAATCTATCTTTTCTCACATTTTTCCAACCTTTTAATTCGAATTATTATAAGAAAATTTATTGTAAAAATGGCTTTGAAAATATCGGTAAAATCACCTTTTCCCCCATTTTACCCATTTTTTTATTTGAATTAATTAATTAATTAAGTAACTTAGTTAAAAAGAAAACGCTGCCTGCGCACCTGCGAATTTTGTTGCTGTTGGGCGAGCGTGTGCTGTTGCTGCTGCTGCTGCTGCTGCATATGGTTGAGCATCGCCTGGCTCATGCCGTTCATTTGGGCCATCGGCCCGCCCCCCTGGCCCATCAGCTGCCCCAAGTTCGCCCCCATGCCCTGCTGCTGCGACCTCAACTGTTGCTGTTGGTGCAGCGCCGACATCTGCTGCTGCATCTGGTTGCCGGCCATGTTGAAGTTGCCCTGCTGGAAGCCGGGCCTCATGGACGCGAAGCTCGCGCTCTGCTGCTGCGTCATGAGCAGGTGGCGCCACTCGCCGTTATTCTGCTGCACCGCCTCCATGCCGCCCATCGGTCCCTGCTGACGACCACTGTACATGGCACGGGCAGGCATCTGCTGCTGCTGCTGCTGTTGCTGTTGCTGCTGCTGCAGCATGTACATGTTGGTGCGGATCATGGGTCCAGACGGCGGTATGGCCTGGTGGGGCATGCGTCTCATGTTCGGGGGCGGGTACCTCGGCTGCATGCTCGCCTTGTACTCTGGCGGGGGCGGACGCAGCTGTTGTTGCTGAAGCGCCGCCGCCTGCTGCTGCTGCTGCTGTTGCTGCATCCTCAGCATGTGCTGTTGTTGGAGTAGCTTCTGCTGGTCGGATATGAGTCGCGGGCCCATCTGGGCGGCCGAACCCATGGGGGCGGTCGCCCTCCTCAAACTTTGCTGCGTAAAGTTGATGGTCTGCGTCTGGGACAGCGAGTAGCTGCCGTCGCCCATCACGTGCCCGCCCATCATGGTAGGTTGCTGTTGCGCGCCCATCGAACCCATCGGCGGTTGCTGCTTCAAATCGGAGCGCCGGTTAGGGGCGGTTAAAGGGGCGGCTGACATAAAATACCTGGTTCATGGAGGTTTGCGGGTTGCCGGTTTGGTGGGCGGACGCGCCTTGCGGCGTTTGCGCCGTTCCGCCGCCAGATGGCGCCGCTGGGTGTTGACTGAAGTGCATGCCCTGTTGCGCGGCGATCGAAACGTTACCCTTGAGGTCGGACGAGAAGTGGAGCTGTTGCCCCGCCGACACCTAGTCCAAACATTAATGATTTTTGTGAATGCGTTTCCAACATTGATTGGGATTCAGAATTCCAGATCGGTTGTTCTTTGGATATGGAATTTAATAGGTTCTTATCGGAGGAACGTTTAACATCGCTAAAGAAGGATTACGTATGGGAAACCCTATTAGTTCACTTAGTGCATAAATTTTGGTGAACAATTTAGAAAATATCCTACATAAATATCCTCTGACCTTTTGGTATTGTTCGATGGAGGAAAGGCCAAGGCATCCGACATGTAAATTTCAACTTCTCACGATTATAAATAATAGAAATTATAAATAAAAACAATGTTTGTCGATAATTTATCGATATATATATATATATATATATATATATATATATATATATATATATATATATATATATATATATATATATATATATATATATATTTATATATATATATATATATATATATATATATATATATATATATATATATATATATATATATATATATATATATATTCACGTATTCATTCACGGATGGAAAAATGTGATGACACTATATTATATATATATACCCCCCCCCCCCAACCCCTTATCATCGTGCCAAATTTCAGCCGGATCGGTTAATATCGACCTCGATCCAAAATTTCATGAGTATTTAAAGTCCCCCCCAGCCCCCTCCAAAGTTTTATCTTGATACTGGAGCTGCATCTATGTCAGGCCGGGAAATTTTGGCGCTAATCTCGTACCTATCTCCGTACAAAAAAAAAATGAAACTACCATAAACAGTAGCCAAAGTTGTCAAAGCACTATATTTCTGGTGGAAGTATAAATTATTTAACGGGTGCGCTTCCAAATCGATAAGCGCGACGGCGGGAGAGGGTATGCGCGTGCGGATGACCCCAAGGGAGCTTCCCGTCCCCCTGCCCCGGCGACCGCCATCGGGCCATAATGGATATTGGTTTCGCATCGAATTTCACAGCAGCACAGTAGACAATAATTTTTTTACTTCATTTTTGTTACGTTATTCAATCGTTAATTAACAAATTTTTCGTGGACTTTAGACAACTGAAAATCAATTATAAAAGTTAAAAGTGTTTTCAACATTTTTTATTTTAGCTGCTTTTTATTTATTTATTGCACTTTACTTCATTACTAAAAAATGTTTACGTTATTTGTTTATAAATTTGTTATAAACAAATAGGATATTTTAATATTAAATTTTTTTTTTGCTTTTCTGTTGTATTGATAAAATAAAAAATTAAGATTTTTTTTAAATTGTTTATAATTGTTTTTTTTTTTAATTCATCATTCGCTATCCTCATTAGAATTAAAAAAAAAAAATTTTTCAACTCAATTTTCATTGTTTATTTCATAAGCAATTTGTTATAAACAAATTCTTTTTCCGTTACAAAAAAAATACACCCATGTGCGTCGAAGTATCAAAAAATTGCAGGGGAGAGACTTGTTTGAATGCCGTGGATATTGTTCGTCGGAAATTGAATATATTGACGAAGAATGTGAATTCGTTATGAAACCAGGATACTAAGCACTCGAGAGGAGTATTTATAGTGTTATAACTGATTCTAGTGATGAAAATGGTGACGATATTACACTAAATTTATCCGACGAAGAACCCGAGCCACATCAAAACGAACCATCAACATCTGATCATCATCCAATGACAAAAAAAAAGAAATTGAAAATAATTTTGAGAAATGGAGAGACTGAGAAAAAGTAATTCTCTTAACACGCATGTAATTCCTTCAACTTAATAATTAATAATAAATACTTGATGAATAATTTTATTTGTAGAGTTCATTGACAGTTATTTCTAAATCCGTTACATAAAACTTTTCCTTATCAATACAAGCACTAAAAACTGAAACTGCGCAAAATTTAATTTTGATGCATATTTATTAGAATCATATATAAGCAATGTAAAATTGTAAACCATGAAGACGAGAACCAGTAAGTATCTGTATTATTCATACTTAAATTACATTTAACCCAGAGATATTAATTTCATCTTATAATAATGTAAATAATAACAAATAACTTACTATTTCGAGCAAAAAGTTGAAAAAAAAATTTTTGAGTTGAGTAGTCTTCAAAGTTGTATTGAATGATAACAGTCATAACATCAATAATATATATAAATAGATATAAATATTATAAAATGATGATCGCGTATTTTTTTATAAACAAATGCGTATAAAAAAAACGTCATAGATAAGGAGATGATTAAAAGTAAATCCAATAGAATAATTAATTATTTAAAATATTGTCTTGCATGTCCATGATAAGATAGGTGCCAGGTTGAACAGTGAGGATGTTAAATATTTAAAAATGAAATAAAAAATAAAACATTTTTTTTTAAATACTTTCATGCACATGGCTGTATTTATTTTTTTTTTAAGGGAAAAAAATTATGTTCAGTATTTGTTTACAACAAATTGTTTATTAAATAAACAATGAAAATTGAATTGTATTTTTTTTGGAATTCTAATCAGGATAGCAAATGATGAATTAAAAAAAAAAACGATTCCTTAATCAATAATTTAAAGGGGTGATAAATAAAAAAAAACGATTATAAACAATTTAAAAAAATACGATTTTTTTAAATCAGTATTTTACCAAGACAATAGAACAGCAAAAATTTTTTGTAAAAAGTGCCTATTTGTTTATAACAAATTTATAAACAAATAACGTAAAAAAAAATTCGTAATGAAATAAAATGCGAAAAACAAATAAAAAAATGTAGATTTTTTAAATAACATTATCTGGATTTTTCATATTTAGTTAATTTTGTTAATTGTTTATTATTATATAAAAAACGGAGACCCTCTTTTTCTCCCTACGTTTTTTGTTTATAACAATTACAATTTTACATTACACAGGATTTAATTCTGAATCCAAAAAACCAAACCCCATATTTTTAAAATCACTAGCACCGTTGTTCGCAGAAAACTCACTTCTCTACTAGACTAAAACGTCATCGACATTTTACTAAACAGGTAGAAAAAGATCGATCGAAATATCTCAGTTTAGTTTCACATTAGCTTTCTGAACTTACATTTAAACCCGAGCATAGCATTGAAAGCTCCGGCCGATATTAATTTCTCCTATTCGGGACCTGAGCTCGAGTCGCTTTTTCAACATTAAAAAATGCAATTCAACGTTTGTGGTTGATGAACGGTTAATCGAGTTGGCTTAGCTGAGACTTTTAAATAATACTGCTGGCTAGTTCTGCCCTCTGGCGTTCTCTGTGTCGATACTTCAGGGGCAACGGTTTTGTACGCAAAGTTAATAGCGAGGTGGCACTATATTTCTGGTCGAAGTATATATAATTGCGGTTTTTATAATCGAGGTGCGGTTATTTTTGTCGATTATTATTTTTTATTTTCTGTTTGTGAAAATCGCTTCGGATAAGGTGAAAACGAAATAGTTTACCTGGATGGCGTGCCCGTGGCTCTGCGGGTTGATATTGAGCTGCTGCGCCTGGTTGATCTGCACGGAGGCGGCGCCGCCCTGACTCTGAGCGCCGCCCCCCGATCCGGACGAAGGTCTGGGCGGCGTGCCGCCGCCGAAAGGCGCGGAATTGGACGGCGGGGCGCCGCCCCTTCCCGTAGGCAGGAACCCGGGGCTCCCGTGGCCGCCGGGGCTCCCGTACGGCGAATACTGCTGCTGTTTGGCGTACATGCCGCTCCCGGTGCCGCCGCCGCCAGTAGCCGCCCCCGGTTTCCGTTTCATCTCGTTGAAATCGCCGCTCTGGAAGATCATCTCCTGCTTGATCATGTCGGGCGGCTGCGGGAAGTTCGGGCTGCCCTTGTGGAAGCTCGGGTTCGAATTGGGGCTCCCGTAGTCGCCCTGAAAGCCCTGGAAGTCCTGGTACGGCGATCGGGAGTTGGGCGTCCTGCCCGCCGGACTGTAACTCAACCCCATCTGGTTCTAAGCCGCGAAAACAAAAAAGGAAGTTAGATTTTTCGCAAAACTTCGCAAAAACAAAATGGCTACCTTGTGCTGGTGCTGTTCGGCCATTTGTTTCAGAGTTTGCGCGGCGGGACTCAGCTCGGTTTTGGTGAAGTCCATGTTAGAGTAGGGTAGCCGATTCGCGATTTGACCGGCGCCTCCGCCCTTTTCGAACACGGGCGGCGAGTAGCCGCCCTGCACGTTGCCCATGAGGGCGGCGTGCGCCGACGACTTCGAATCCGGCCCCGCCAAACCCGACGACGGTCCCAAATCTTTGATATCCTCCATCTTCGAATGTTTCGGTTTATTTATACAATTATAACGAATTATAATGGAGATATCTTAACGGCGATAAAAGTCGATGTGAATTACGTCCTTTTGGGGATACGGGTGTCGAAATATATATAATATTAATAACAATGTTTTTCTATTGTGCTCCTCCAGTTTTTTTTTCGCAGCCTACTAAGATACATATTTAAAAGGAGACAAAGTTTTGTTGGAGCTGCATCTATGTCAGAAAGGGAAATTTTGGCGCTAACCTCATATATATCAATGTTTTTCTTATATCGTTATAATTTTGACAAGTATATTTATATAGTATTTTTCACAGTTTAAGCCGTTACTTCGACCAAACGTTTTTCGAAACCGACGTACCTTCATGGCGTTGACGCCCAAGTCGCTGCCCTTGTCCTCGAAATCGAACTCCTTCATCAGTTCCGGATAGTCCGAGTAATTGCTGATGTCGGAGATGAGGTCCTTGAACGCGGCCGACGACATGATCTCGTCGTTGGTGTCGTCCCCGATGAGGTCGGGGAAGGAGGCGGCGAAGCCGGCGCCGCCGTTGGCGGCGGCGTCCTTCTCGAGCGCCGCGGCGCACGAGTCCAGGTCCGCGAAATCGTTGTCCGGCTCCTGCGACAAAAAACCGTCGGGTCTCCCTCAGGTCTCCCCCCAGGTCCCCCGGATACCTGTTTGACGCATTCCACCAAGGTGCCGACGTCGAGGCCGACCTTTTGCTGCTGCTGCTGCTGCTGGACGGGCGTCGAGGGGTTCGATTTCGGCGACGAAACGTCGTTCTTGACGCTGGCGTTCGCGTGCGTCTTGACGGTGACATTCGTGCTGATCTGCTGGGGTTGCGAGCTCGCCGCCGACGTAGTGAACTCGAGCTGCTGCACGATCTCCACCGAGAACTTGGTGAGGCCCTCGTTTTGGTGGCTGCCGTGCTGTTGCGCCGTACACTGGAGCTTCACCGGCGGCTCGAAGCCGTCGGCGCCGTTCCCCGGGTCCAGCTCATCGACGGACCTCTTCAGGAACTTTTGCTGCTGTAACCGACGTTATTAAATGGCACCGGATTTCGTTAAAATACAAAAACCTCAAGTGATGATTCAATTGAATCATTTAAAAATAATTCAGAGATTCACAGAAACGGTAAAAGAAATACGACCATACGCAGATACTTGTGTTCTGCAGAAGATTGCAGAGACATTGAAGTAGTAGCTGTCAAATCTATTGACGAAAGTGATGTCAGTTTTGTCTCTCAAGAGCAAATATTGGGAGTTCCACCTGTTCCCAACTAACCAAAACTAACCAAAAATATCACAACTTATCACAGTAGACAGATGACTAAAACCTCTTCCTCATAACGACATTTGTTTTCACGAACATTATACCAAAAAGCAATTAATTGAGGTTCTCCAAAGCTTGAACCTACCAAAAGGAATACGTCTGTGATAATTATGCCAAAAATCTAGGGCATACAGTTTTAAGGCTTCCGCCTTACCACTGTATATTTAATCCCATTGAACATGTTTGGCACCCACTGAAATCTGCCATTCGTCGTAACAATGTTTTTCCCCGTGTCGACTCCAATGTCCTCAAACTTATAGAAACCGAAGTTTTTAACATCCCTCCACAATGTTGGGCAAATTCTGTCAAACATATAAAAAAAGCAGAACAATCGTGCCCATAAACATGGGATAATCTGATTTAAACAGTCTCGAATATTGCGCCGAGAGAGAGACAGAGAGAGAGTTTCATTTTTCGTACATACATCATCATACAGGGTGCGCGAGATACTTTGAATAATATAATTGGAAATCGTTATTACTTGTACAATTTTTTATATTTATCAAGGTTTGTCGTGACTTTGAACTTCGGCGATCAGTAACAAACGCTTTATACAGGGTGTATGCCCAATAAAATTGCATCGATTTTGCGAAAGTTCGATAGTGGTCCGCAGGAGCACGATAGAAAAACGATGCGTCCGCTTGAAGGTGGTAGACACTGATTCCGTAGAAATACTAAAAGGATGTCGAACTTCCATTGTCTTTATGTTTAATTTACACAACGTGTCGGACAGTTGTATCACTACCCGTTAACAAAATTTGATTCTAAGGCTACAAGGTTTATATACTATGCGACGGGGCTCATCCATGACGGATCAGAGGTTGCCAAATTGTTGGTATATCTACGCTTGGATTGCTGAAGATGTTTTTATTGTTACTAATGAAAAATGCTTCTTTAAATTTGCGCTATCTCCAATGCGATACCTGATTTTTGCGTTTCACCCTTCGTTGTTTCTTATGTTTCGCCAATATATGATACTCCGCATTCACAGGGTATCTGGTAGGTAGACTCTTGAGTCGACGTTTCAGGCTATGTTTTTGTGAATACACCTCTTAATGTTGATCAAGATTTAAATACAGTTTTAACATGATATTGTTTAGCTATTCGTCTAATCTTTTCTGATATTCCTTTCCAGATAATGAAGGTGTATCGTCAACATATCGAAGCCAGATCTTAGGTTTAATAGTTGCAGTGTTTAAGGCATGCGTTTCGAACCACTCCATGTATATGTTCGCTATCACTGGAGAGAAGAAGCCATCGGCAGGCCTTGAACTTATCTTTGACTTGAAAGTAAGAATAATGCAGACAGCACCTCAGAAGCTCCAACACTCCCTCAATACTTAACGACTCCTCCAAGGGCACGTTCGTATATAGACTTTCAACGTTAAAGCTGATAAACTTGTCTGAAGGATCCAGTTTCACGTTTTTTAGAATATCTACCAAGTGCCCAGAGTTTTTTGCAAACGAAGAAGTTTTACCTACAAGTGGCTGGACGATTTGATTGTAGAATCTCTTGAATTAGTGATCGGTCTGGGTGGATTTTTGGAAGGCCATAAAGATGTGATGGTTTGGTGTGATGTGGAGTTAACGTGGTTCTAATGTTATCGGGAATAGAGCGTCTGTATTTTCAGTTTTCATTAGAAACAATGAAAACATCTTCAGCAATCCAAGCGTGGATATACCGACAATTTGGCAATCTCTGATCCGTCATGGATGAGCCCCGTCGCATAGTATATAAACCTTGTAGCGTTAGAATTAAGTTTAGTTTACACTTGATAACGGGTAGTGATACAACTGTCCGAAACGTTGTGTAAGTTAAAAATAAAGACAATGCAAGTTCGACATCCTTTTAGTAGCGAAAGCAATCGCTTAGTTTGCTTCGGCCGAGTCGGGAAAAGAAAATTGACGGACGAGATGGGGAGAGGACGGGCGACGTCACGAGTTCGTTTACCTGCTGTTCGGCGAGGCGACCGTCCTCGGACGTCATCGCGATGACGTCGCGCGCTCGCGGCGACACGGAAACGGACGGGCGCGCGGGCGGGTACCCGGTACCCAACGAACGGACTGAAACGATTTCGGAAACCGATGGTGCCACGGTGTGTTTACGTAGTTACGTCACATTCGCGGTAAAATCGATCGTCGCGTCGCATCTACTGCGCGTTCGAATATTACTACTCGTTTAAAATGAAAAAATGCCTCGCCATATGAGCAAAAAGTACCGGGACGATCAGGTACCTCCGAAAGTAAAATAAATAACAACCAAAAGTTTTGTTTTATATATTTTTACATGACAATTGTTTCGACAACACCGTGTCTTTATCAAATGTAATATTTACAAACTGCCTGCTATTATATATACCGAAAAATGGCAATAAAACCAATGGGTTCACCTGTTTCCGAGTTAGGGTGAAATCTACTAAATCTATCACATCCATAGATGGAATACTGGAAAATAAGTTTTGTACATCAAAAGACAATAGTGTTGCGTTAGAAGGGATTTTAGTATCTTTAATTATGTTGATTAATTCAAAAGAATTTTTTATTCCAAATTTTGGTTTAGAATTTGTGTGGAACTTTGAAATATTTACTAATTTTGTTGAGAGTTCAACTGCTGCAGCTGTTACATAAGACACAACTAGTCTAATTTGCATATTTTGTTTATGTAATTTAACTAAAGAATATAATTTCGGCGGTTGTGGATTCATAATTGTTAATAAATACTTGTCTTTGTCACTAATTACTTCCTTGACTTGTCTTTGATATAACTCGGTAGGATCGTGTTTGATACAAAGGAAAAGTTCTGCTTTAAGAAAATTGTTGGTTTTTGAAATATGTTCTAGGAGATCGATAGTTATGACTGTCTTCGCTTTATCTGCACGTGTAAATATGATGTTATTTTCCGAAGCTTTGTTTTTGATAGATTTCACTATTGACATTTGAGAAATTTCTTGGTGTTTGTTGTTATCTACTTTTGTTTATGTTTGTTTAAATTAAAATCGTTAATGTTCTTAATTCCTAATTCACAGTCGATCCCTAAACAGTCTAATTCTCTATTAATGTTCGAGTGCTGTAAGTTAAAGTTGAAACCTTTTCCCAGAAATTCAAATTCACTTTTAGAAAAGAAAATGTTGTGTGTTTGATGTACAAAACTTGTTTTCCAGTATTCCACCTGTCGATGTGATAGATTTAGTAGATTTCACATTCACTCGGAAACAGGTTAACCCATTGGTGAAACAAGATTTATTAGATTGCTTAATCGTATCTTTAGACCAAAATTATCTTGAATTCAACCTCCAAAAGTGCCTAAGCTCGAACAGCAATGTTGTCAGATTTCAGAAATATCGCGACGTTAAAAATATTTTTTCACCAACAGTGAGTGGTAAATCTGACAACACAGCTGTCAGTTTTTTTTAATTCTGCATGTTCAAAAAGGAATTGAATTTTATAGTTCCAGCCTTTCCAGATATTTAAGCGTTTCGGTACTTTTTACTAACCTCGTATATCCTATATTAAATAACGTAGCAATATAGCATGAAAGCATTGTAATATTTATAATATTATATGCTTGTGCGCTGTTCTAGTTTAATTGGGCCAAATTTTTGAGGAATGAGTCAGTATTTCTGAGAAACAAGTCAGAATTTCTGAGTTGAGTCAGAAATTCTGCAATATGAGTGCGAAATAAGTCAGAATTTCAGAGTTAAGATAGAAATTCTGAAATATAAGTGATAATTCGTGGAAAACAAGTCAAAATTTCTGAGTTAAATCAGAAATTAAGAAATTCGTCTACTTTATAGAAAGTTTGAATCGCTTTTCGGAAATTCCGATTTGTTGTGAAATTGTGATTTATTTTTGAAAAATTCTGATTTGTTTTTAAAATACCTTAATTAAGAAATTCTCTTACATTATAAAAATTTTGAATTATTTTTCAAAAGTTTTGCCTTATTTTCTACAAAATTCGGATTTGGTTTTCAAATACTATGAGTCAATTAAGAAATTCTCCTACTTTACAAAAATTTTCAATTATTTTTCAAAAGTTTTGCCTTATGTTTTACAAAAGTCCGATTTGTTTTTTAAAAATGATGTCTTAATTAAGAAATTCTCTTAGTTATTATACAAAACTTTCGAATTATTTTGCAGAAATTCTGACTAATTTTCCCGAAATTTTGCTTATATTAAGAAACTCTCTTCTTTAGAGGAATATCGAATTAATTTTCAAAAGTTCTGCCTAATTTTCCGCAAAATTCTGATTTGCTTTTCAAAGTTCTGCCTTAATTAGAAATTGTCTTTATAAAAATTTAAAATCATTCTGACTTATTTTCCAGAAATTCTGATTTATTTTTCAAAAATTTTGACCTAGTTGAGAAATTGTAACTAACCAAAAATTCTGAAGCCAATTTAGCAATTCTGACTTGTTTTACAGAAATTCTGATTTGTTTCTAAAAATTCTGAAGTTAATTTACAAATTCCACCTTAAAGATTTTTACGTACTTTCCAGAAAGTCTTACTTGTTTTTTAAAAAATTCCTATGTAACTTAGAAATCCTGACCAAACATTTTGATTTATTGTTCGAAAATTCGAAATTCCTATTTGTTTTTCAAAAACTCTGACTTAATTCACAAATTTTGACTTGTTTTCCGGAAATTCATACTTATACGTCAATAAAACATCTTCGAAAAAAAAAAACGAAATTTTA